ATTAGCATATAGAACTATTACTTAGCTGCTTGTTTTGAAATCTAACATATATTTTATTTTAAATTAAAAACCTATAAGTAGTTAATTAAAATGAGAAAATCCGGTTGATCGCTGAGATATAATGAAAATTGAGACTTGCATAGAGTCTAATTGGAAATATAAATTATAATTTCTTGATGCAAATTAGCTGATTATGCGTTTAATGTATTGTTAATTTTATTAGATATTATTAATTATATTGCATTACATTAGTGTATTCTCTTAATTTAAATTCAGTTGTAGAGTTTCTCACTCTTATTTCACTAAAGTAAATGTCGAGGAACCTAATGAATTATTAAGCGACTTATCGCTTAGTTCAAATAACAGGAATCGTAAACTCAAGAAGGGTTAACTACCCTTTATTTCACTCAAAATAAGATGACTAGTCGGTCCCTTTCTTTGGGCTTACAACAAAGCCTCCACTTGGGCTTAAAAAATCAAAATAAGAATAAGAAATAACTACATATAAATAAGAGATTTTAGCCGAAGCTAACACAAATCTAACGTAGTTGGCCGACTTTCCTTACATTCTGCAGTTCATTCGTAGCGAAAAGGAGATTCGTAGAGACAGTAGAGAAAGGGGATTCGTAGAGACAGGAAGCTCTAAGTCAACCAATCCAAGTCTGGGACGAAATTATTAGCCTCCATGTTGTACAGACTATTCAGTTTTTATGAAGCAAGAAATATAAAAAACTCAACTGAACCCTCACAAGGATTCGAATCACGAACTTTTCAGTTCCTAATTACCAAACAATTACATCAAGAGAAAGCACTTAAAGAGGATTGAGATAATTCGTTGCATTCTCTTTGCATAAAGAACGAGTGAGGAGACAGTATGTGTTAAACCCAGGTTTTGATGAATTATAATCCACAAAACTTTAGTTTCGGCGACCTTTTTGAGACAGTTAGACATTTCGGACCAAGAAACATGAAAACTCACGTGTGTATTAACCATTCAAAACAATCTTCACCACGGCTACTCCAGTATCTTGCTGAATATATACACAAGGAAAGCACCCTCGAGGATGCTTTCCTTTCTCCGATCGGAGAAAGGTAATTTACTAATTTTTACTAATATTAATTTGGGAGTTTTATGTGAAGATTAGAGGAAGTGGGAGTCAGGATTAGTTGTAAATTCAGTCATCCCATTAATCGGACTCTAATTTGGAACCTTTGAATTTTCGCATTCATGTCCTTACAGTTGCTATACAAGAAATCTAAAAGGAATGCTTTTAATATCTTGCAAGAAGAGTCTTTCTCTGACATGCTAAATACTAATTTCCATTCTCCTCTTATCAACTGAATTCAAAGGGCGTAGTTTCATCAAAATATTTATATTTATGTAATATCGCAACCACCTTAGTAGAACTCGCCAGACTTTCAGTATGTGCTAAACTCTGGCAACCGTACGCGTAGCCATTGTTCAAGCAAGCATGGTCTAACAATTCCTCAGCCAATCAGTGTTGCGGTTTTTATTTGCGCTCTTTCTGTTTTATTCCAAGTTCCAAAGCTTTTTATAGAGACATCGGGATATATTTTTTTTTTTTTTTTTGCTTTAAATACCATTTTAAAATATCCCGTATGCAATTTTACGGCAATGGAAGAAACTGTCATAAGCATTCCGAAGAAATACAGTATTTTCAGCAAAATCGCTAAAGTGATAAAATTCGTTTAGTGTATACCATGGCGAGTTTTGCAGTTCTTTAAAGCGAAAACAGATCGCTATGTACATGGGGAGATAAACAACTCCAAATCATTAGACAACGATTTCGGGAAAAAAAAAAAAAAAAAAAAAAAAAAAAAAAAAAAGGAATGTTTTTAAACGCATTATATAATCATTAGTAATAGCTGAAATTTTCATTTAAAATTTTTATAGGGTGTTTTTTTTTCATCTTGTGTGTTCTTGTGATTCTTACGATAAATATCTGTAGTTTGGAATTAAAAAAAACTCGAAAATCGGCAGCTTGCACCCGATAATTAACATTTACCTTCTCATCCCGTAAAAAAGTCACCAAATTATGGCAAGGTGGTTGCGTTAATACTTAAGTACCAAATTCTTACTCAAAATTATTTTTATATTTTGACGCTATTTTATTTATCTAGATTTACCAACATATGGAATACGAACATCATCAAAAGTTTTAAATCTTTCATTTTACAGTTTTTAAATAAATATTTCTAATATAAATATTTTTAGCATGATTTCCCTAATGGCTAAATTATTATGTTACAAAAAATACGATTTTCAGGCTTTTCTATTTTAAAACATTCGTTGCGCTCTAGAGATAAATGACTTATCTTTTCTTGTCTTTCGAACGACCCCCCCCCAAAACAAAGAAGATAATGTAAAAGCACAATGGGATTTTTTTTCGCTGGTACCGTAACATAGGTGAATCAATAAGTTTTCGCACGCATTTTGAGTGAATATAAATTACTTTCTTACTGTCTTGATAACCTTTATTTCTTTACTTATTTTCTTTTGTGTATTAGTGATTATTCATTCAATAAGAACTATTATTATTGTGTGACATACATCCTTAGAGAAGAAAGGTTTCATAGTAAAAGTAATTTTCATTATGAAACATTCTTGTATTTGGATGATTGAGTATACATCATCTTTTATTTTCAGTCTTTTTTAGCAGTAAGTATGCATTGTCATTTACTTCCAAATGAAATTCTGATTTATAGGTGAGAACAAAAACTGTAGAATTTTTTTGCTGTATTTTGATTCATCGTGACGCTCATTAAATTTTTGCACCTCTTTTAACGTAATGAATGAAACCTCTTGGAAGATTCTGTGTGTGTGTGGATGTGGGAAGTGCACAGTAAAATCACATTTATTCTTGCCAGGGAAAAGGGGAACAAAAACGCTGAAAAAATGACAAAAATAATTTTTTTTTAATATTTAATTGGAAGAGATATACGAAAAATTAAATTTTAAAATTAGCGAAAAATCGACCTTAGCATATATTTTTGATAAATTTCTATTCACTTCGAGGGCGATCAAACATGGGATCGCCTCTTCTTCAGGAGCGGAGGGAAGAAAGAATAGCAAACGTCAGAACAACAATAACCATTTCATATGGAAGAATTTCTTCGTTCTCTGAGTTTTGTGTCTGGAAGCAAATATTTAGGATGTGTACGTGAAGGAATAAAGCCCGTAGCATCCTTTGAATATTATATAGTTTGTCTACGAAATTTGTGAATAATTTGTTTGCCACGTAAGGACCCGACAAAGCGTTTAGTCTATGCGGACTAAACTAGAATCTTTGAAGTCTAATCGTAGTTAACGGGTTTACTGCGGTTTGAGGTATAATCATACATTATACTTCAAAGCCAAAACTTCATTCTTAATCTCAAAGCTATTATGTCTATATCTTTTTCAGTATTTCGCCAGGTAGCCAAATTTATGAAAATTAAATTTATGAAATCTTTTAAAATATTCTCTACGAATTGCTTGTTCTTGCAGGGCGAAGTGTTGAGAGGCTTGTCTCCACGAAGTAATTTTCGAGCTTCCACGAGGAGAAGGCAGCAACAAGATGTACATCACCTGACAGTGCCTACAGAGAGGGACCATCCGGATGACATGCATACCCCCAGTGAAGACAGTGGAGTGGACCTTGCCAACGGTACTTTCTACAGCCATGGTAGTAGGAAAGGCAGCAGGTATGCTTCTGCATTATGCTGTTACGTAAAATTAATAATATACACAATGTATATACACCTTGTTTATTATGAAAACAAACGGATGCTTCAAATTCCGCAAGGGATGTACGGCGGACCACACAGACATGAGAAAGTCCTGTCTGCGGTCTTCGCAAGCCACTGTTTTCAAGCTTTTACGACGTGTCACACGACATGGTCTAACATCTCAGTTCCAGTTGACAGTATAAGAGACATAACTTCATGAACAATGTCAAGAGATTTTAGCGTTCTGCACTGTGTCTCACCCACAGATTTAACAATGCTTTTTGACTATCATTTTTCATCTAAATGTATAGCAACTGACTCAAAATCGCAATGCATCCCGCATTCTAATAATTAAACATTAATACTAATTTGAAAGGATTCAGATTTTAACGCCACAGCAGATAGTTTGATAAGAGTTTTCACGTTTTCGCGTAACTCACTATTTACTTATCTGCAGTCCTCTAAAAACAACCTTTTTTGGTCTTTTTAACTTTATTATTAAACATCGCTTTCTTCGCATTCACGCCACATAAAATTCAATAGTAAAACACAAAATGTTCATAAACAGTATGTCTTTAGAATCTTCGATAGAGTGCTAAGTTGCAATATATCTATTATATTATTCCTTTTAAAATAAATCATGGTGATAATAGCATTTGGTGGACCTTTTACTTTAGGTATTAAAATGATAAGGTATAACTCCCGGTGCCTCCACATGCATATTGTCACGACTTCTGTATTATCTTATGATGATATTCATTTTTTTTTCCATAGAGATCATACTAATGCGCAGCGTTTTTCGATGTGTTCTGCAGAAAAGGAAATTTAGGTGAGAAGAAGAGTGCTCAGGTGCCTTACCTGTCACATTAACTCGCAGAGATAATTAAACTTTTCAAAGCGAAAAGTGCGAAAAATGTCGCCAGGATTCGACTCGCAGATCTTTCATTTGCTAGACTGATGTGCAGCAGACCACTCGAAGATAAGTAGTTTATGCGTACGGTCCCTCGCAGATCGTGTTTTCGAGCTGTTACGAGGTGTGAGACAGGCAAAAGCAATAATTCGTTCAGTTGCGGCTCCACTTCACAATTCAAGTATCATAACTTCAAGCTCAGTGTCAAGGGATTTTAGCAATCTGCATTGAGTTTGCCACCAAAGCCTTTCGATATTATGGACCAATGATCCTGTTTCTCCTATGATATCGCTTCAACTATAATGAATCAGAGGACGTAAAATACTACTGAAAAATTAGAAAATCGTGAGTTCTGCAAACTGGGTTACAGAAGGCAATAACTCAGAACGCTCCTAAACTCTCGACTAGAGAGACTCTTGCCGCTAGCAAGATCCTCACTTAATGAGGATAATACAGTAATCGTTTCTATGTGTTGTTATGTATTGCCTTAAAACTTCTCATCGATTTATATTAAATGTGTTTTTATTCTATATGAGGTAAGTAATACGCAACCTTAAAAAACTCAAAAAACACAGTTTACCAGATGGAAACGTGCCATCAGTGCAGCGAATCGCCATCACCCCACTTGTCTTAACCACTTACCAAGAGTACGGCAAGGATAATGCGATAAGTCCTTATATTCTTCTACTTTACACTTAAAGGACAACGGTGGGGAGACACGAGATTCAGTCAACGAAATCCACATGGTGACAAGTTATCGTTCACTACATTTTTTTTTGTCACTGTAGAGAATATTTGGATTTTCCATGAAGGAACCGTGAAAAATTAACTAAGCTTTCGCCGGGATTCGACCCACGGATCTTCCCCTTTACATTTGTACCATAAGAGCTCGCCCAAGAACATGCTATAATTCCATATAAAGCATCCCATCGTTTTGCTGAAATGAAACTTGGTTAATCTTTCTAGAAACTGAGTAACAAAAGGATAAAAAATATTACCTCTGTGTCATTCTAAGTCTACGGTTCCTGTAAATACAGTTCGTTTGATAGTGCTGTTGATGAATCAGATACACAGTGACTTTTTGATTATTGATTTTTGATTGTCGTAAAAAAATGCTTCACTGAGATTCAATGTATAACATATGCTTTTAGGAAAGTGTTACAGTACTTCCTCCATTGTTTAAGAGTATGAAAACGAAGTCGTTCACGGATTTGTCTTATATGCTTCTTTGTTTTTTACTTCCTTATACAACTAAAAAGGTTTTGGTTTTGGTTTATTAGATTACGGCAAAGCATTCGAGGGCTATCTGCCTTAAGGAAGGGATGCCTTCGTGGAGGACGTTTTAAGGGAAACTGGCTCGTATACACGTTACACATGGGGAAAACCACGAAAACACCTATGCAGCCAGCCCGTTCGCGGGATTCGAACCTCGGACCGAACTACCCGACTAAAAAGAAAGTATTGTAATCGCGAAAAGTTTCAGGCAGCATATTTCAACGAAAATATCCATTTTAACCGATATCGAATCCAATTTAACGATGTTTTTGCGTGACATCTGTACGTAAGGACAGAATAAAAGACTGTTTTCTTCCAAAAAAATTATAAAATTGCTTTAAAATTAATTCTGAAGAGAATTTTTCGTGGTATCTGTACGAACGTATGTACGTACGTATCTCGCATAGATACGTACGTATGTATGTACGTATGTATCTCGCATAACTCAAAAACGAGTAGCCTCAGAACGTTGAAATTTTGTACATAGGACTGCTATAACGTGTAGATGTGCACCTCGTATTTTGGTTATATTCGGGCGAACCAAACGTATATAAATATATTTATATATATATATCCACTCTGTTATCCGGCTCAGTGATCTCAGTTTCTTTACTCTTATATGTTTGTAAATTGTACATTTTTGCTCTAAAAATGATTGAATTATGTTGTTTTTAGCTTACGGTTAAGGTTTTTATGCCTTTAGGAATGGTTTTTATGCCTGTAGGAAATATGCATGCAATATTTTTAGAGTTATCAACAATTTAAAAGTTGATTCAAAAGTCAAACAACAAAACTCAGCGTTATATTTTCATATTTTCACAGGACTAGTTTCAATGGTTTTACCGAACCAACATCTTCAGTTGCAAAAGCGCAAAATATTGTTGCAAAAGCGAAACAATTCTTGATGTTTGACTTTTGAATTAGTATTTTATTGGCGTGTTATTGTGTCTTAATTTAAAAGTTGTTTAAGTGCGGCTAAGCCTAATTATTTTTGCGATGGCGGCCATGTTTACTTACATTTGAAACTTGGCAGAATAACGGATTTGTTGCCAATCTAGAGAGACTAAGCTTCTCAACAGCAAAGATAACGCCTTCTTTTACTATTGTGAATTAAATCATGCTTAATCCATTCTGGAATTTATTCGAGGAAATAAGTGTTTATTTTTAATATAGATATTTTGAGTTTTTATGTATTTTTGCCTTCTCGCGAAGTGAGAACTGAATTAATTGAACGAGAAATACTGAATCGTTTGTGAAAAACTTTTTTTTTTTGCTTTATTTCTTTTATACACTGTTCTAGATTTATTATAGTATTTGAATAGAACATGTAGCAACGATTAGATAATTCTTCAAATGATATAAATTTTGTACATTCTGAGTTATAATATGAACGATATATAACGCTGCTAAGTGAACCTAGCGCCAGAGTGTCGCTTTGGTAAACAAATATAGTGAATTTTAAAGAGTGCATATATCGTATTGTGTTTTATGCGCTGTCGACGAAGTACTCGTAGATTTAATTCATCCAATAAGTTTAAATAAAATGCAAGAAAAATGCGTATAATTAAATATTCCGTACAAGGAAATCATGTGGTGTACACATCAGATTTTTTATTAATTTTATGATGCACACTTACTGTGATTTTCCAACAGGCAGATTTTCGAAGATTTATTTCGGTCTCTTTTAGGTAAATTTTGATTAAATTATTTACTAGGATAAAGTATTTAGAGTATATGGCAAAACATTTGAGGTGACTTTTCTCAGAATGATTGATCCTTATTTCTATCACACTGTAAGGATTATGTTAATTTTATTAACAGTTAAATTCTAAGTTCCCTTCCTGTCAAATTCTTAACTTCAACTTACTACTTCCGTCAGAACGTAGTTTTGGAATCTTTCTGAATACTTAATGAGGAGGAGCGGTATTTAAACCGAAGTTTACTTACAGAGTTAGAGAGAATCAGAGTTTGTGATTTGCGCGCGTCTGCCTTTTGGCTACTCTCTCTCTCAAAGCTGTTAGTACGCTCGGCCGTACTCAGGCCCTTGATAAGCTTCGTAGTCAAATACAGTTAAGGGGCCAACTCGATTAGAATCTTGATAGCTTCGGCTATTCTTATTGGATCTTATTGGAATAATAAAGGATTAGTTACCCTTCCATCTTGTTGTTTCTTGTTACACGAACTTAAGCGATTATTCACTAACTAGTTCTTAAGATTCGTCACTTTCTACAGTAATTGAGAAATACACTAGTGAAAATCTTACAACACGTACCCCTATTCGTACGGGAAAACCCTATTCAGGTTTCCTATCTGCATATTCCTTTTCTTACTAAGCTATCTTATCCGTTATTTAATTTTAAATTTAAGATTTGATGCACATGTTGCCTAAAATTCAAAATTCTTATGTTGTGAGATGTCTCTTCTTTTCCACATAAACTATAGTAGATCCTATAAACAAACTTGGCGAATTCTCGCACAGACGTGAAGTAAACACCAGTACAGAAGAAAGGGGAAAATAACCCTTTATTAATTAAACTCAGAAACAGAAAGGTATGTGCTTCGTGCTTTACAATATCACCGATCACTTGCGGTGCAACTTAAACATTATAACATAAATCAATTCAATTCTAAATACAATAGTGCTGGATTAGCATGTTAAGTTACGGCTAACGTAGGTTGACTCAACGAAACCTAACAGGCCTGACTGTTATCCGAAATGGCCTAGGGCGCACAAGCGTAACAGCGAGATAAGCAGCGAAACGTGTGCTGGCTAGCGAAAACACTGAATAAA